TCAGTGAGTACAGGTAGTTTCATATTATTATGAGGTTATTATGAATCTCTCTGGAAAAATTTGGTAATGAAATGATGATGGTAGAATCTTACACTGGCAGTGCAGATACTGGTGAGTAAACAAACATAATGAAACTGGTTTATACATGTAATTGTTCAATCAATTAGGGAACATAGTTCCTGCTTGGTGACTCTATAAACTTGTATACCGTTTAATTGTTGTCTTTGAGTGAATGACTTTGGTTCATGGTTCAATTTACTGCACTTGTTAAAAACGTCAATTAATTTAAAGTGTGGGGATTGTCACCTATGTATGCGTCAGATGGCCATAGCGTGTCATTGTTTACAAACAAGCATCTACCCATGAGCCTTTGCATGATTACCATGCATTGTTATCATCACTTAGGACTCAATTCAAGAGCATACGCAGGTGAAGACCCCTTCTTTTTAAATAATGCACATCACATGCAAGACAAAAAACAGTATAAACAGCACATCATAATGATATTCATTAAAACTACTTTCAAGTAAATTAATCTCTATTACATTATTTATAAATACCTGATATGCCAGACTGTTTTACCAATGACATCACTGTGTTCTATCTGCCATATTGTAACAATACCATCGTCCCCTCCAATAACGAGTTTAGTTCTTGTCATGAAACTGACTGTGTTTATGGAGTTGTCCGAGATCTGCAAACAACAATAATATTGTATCCATAATAAAAACATGATATACATAAAGTAGTATGATATATTTTTATCATCTCTAGAAGTTTCTGGGAGACTGTTTGACATTTTGAACCAGATTCGTTACCAGAATGGATTCTACTTCACTTGTCACACGCATTTCATATCACCCTATTATTACGTTCGTTTTTATCAAGCTTACATTTCATACTTTATTTGTTCACCACACACAATCAAAGTGACTGGTTCAGCCGTGGTAATTTTAATGTTTTCAAATAGGTCATTGCCCTGGTACTATATAATGACTTTCCTGATGCAAAATCAGGAAACATTATGTTATAATAACAGAATGCCATGGAAAGCCATTTACACGTGGTTTGGAACATCCATAATACTGTTACTTCATGAATGAAGCAAAGCTCAGGAAAATACAATGATAGTGGAACCTGCAACCATGCAGACATGCCAATCATCATGTAATCTCCCTGATGGCACCCATTAAATCTGAGAGGGCAGTCTTTTTTTGTAAGCTCCCTGATAACACCCATCAGAGGGCAGTCTTTCTTGTAATCTCTGATGTTGGATGGATACAAGTAACAATTACACAAGGAACCAGATTAAAAATTTGTTTTTTACCTTTTGTGTGATAACATTTTCTGGGACATTATCAGTAATAATACCATTTTCTTCTGAGAATTTCCAAAGCATAATGATACCGTTCCTATTAACACAAAATTGAATAAAATTATGTGAAGTTTATGAACTAAATATTTTAGACAATCATACATTTCTTTCAGATGGAATTTAAATTCAAAATGGCTGCCTGGTTTCGGACACCTTAAGGACATTCACAATTATACAATTTAAAAAAAAAATAATATCCATATTTTTGGGGCAATGATATTTATATTCATTTAAATTCAACATAAATATTGATGATTTTCTAAAACAAAATACAAAAACCAAATGATTTATATAAATTGATAAGCACCAATATGTATAGTATAAGCAATACAGTATTTTCTCTATTAGAAGCACATCTCAATAAAAGTGTACATAAATCAAAGACTGAATTCATTGTATACTATATCTTACAAATGTCACTTTTGACCACCATGCAATACTAATATAACAAAGACTGAATTCATTGTATCCTATATCTTACAAATGTCACTTTTGACCACCATGCAATACTAATATAACAAATACGGCATATTGATTACCTGTCAGCAGAGACTGCAAATAATCCATGTGGAGAATACGCCAAGCAAGATACTTCAGAATTATGGTTGGCAAAGACTGTAGATTTATTCAACTATAATTTAAATAAGAAAGCGTTTAAGATCACTCAGTGCTCATTGGTCAATGGATTCAAAACATTTATAGTCATTGCTATGGTTACAAATCTTCACTAGAGAGCACAACAAATTCTAACTGCATTAATAATACTAACCACTAGAGGGCAAAACGTATCACATGAGGGCGCCATATATCTGCAGGAAGTGACTTAAACTTTACAACTGCATTGACAATACTAACCACTAGAGGGCAGTATATATTTTACAATGATGCTATATATAGAATCAATAATACATACCTTTGGCGACCACAATTTAATGGTCTTATCCATGGATGTTGTGATAATCTGACTGCCATCTCCACTCATTGCGACTCCCATTACTCTATCAGAGTGCCCTGTTAAAGACACTATCTCATTGCCCTGATAAACAAAAACGAAAAAACATAAACTGCATTAAAGGTAGCTAGATAATACAGATGTCTAGGTGCTGTTTGCATGTATATATCCCAATAGTCTAGTGTTCTTCACATGTATAGCCCAACACCCTAGGTGATTTAGCTCAGCTGTCTAGGTGCTGTTTG